TTCAGACAGCCCGGCGCGTTAGCCTGTCCAACCGTACGTCCCTGTCGTCGCTGGCTAGGATGTCGAGAGCTGTAAATTCGTCCCCCACGGCCACGTCCCGCTCACATTCGAGTTTTCCTCATTGCAGGTCAAGCAGCGTCATCGCGGATTCGATGGCGCGATACCCACTCGGCGATCTTGAGGATGCACCCCCAACATGTCCACCATTTCCCCTCCCCACGTCCCTGTCTTCTCCAATCGAACGTGCGATCACGACGAAGGTTCGAAAGGACAGTCCCCCTCTTCCCTGCGACGGCAGATCCTGCGATCACCGTGGGTCCGCTGAGCCTTCCGCTGACGAAACCCCCGTTCGATGTGACACCGATACGTCGCTCCTGTCTATTGCAGGTGTCCCAATGTGTCCAGCGTTTCATGTTGGCCCTTTGTACTCGTCGCTAAAGCAGGGCAAAGCCTTCTGGGTCCGCTTGTCTGGGCGTCTCGAATTTGGAGCTTCTCCTGCGGTGTGGCACGAAGCACCCAATCACGCGGTAACCTGCTCAAGACCAACAAGGGAAGGTCTGTGCCGCCGGTCTGGACCAACGCCAACATCGCAACTTTTCAACTAGTCCTCAGCAGGCTGCGGCGCCAGTCGGCATCATCGTCTTGATCCAGCAGCGTGGGCAAGCCCAGGGCGGTCGTTTGGGCACGCTACCGTCAGCTGCTCTATAGCGTCAGGTCCAGAGTCTGGACTCGGAACAGCGGCTGGGGACGACTCCAAAACGGAGCCGACATTTCATTAGTTGTTAGCAAGAGGACAATTTTGTTTGTGAAAGCGGAGGCGGAGGTTGAGCTGATCACTGACCCCTTGAACCTGTCACAGACCCTTGGCTCCCCCAGGATCACGGACCCATGCTACTGATCATGAGAGACTGGATGACCAACAAGGATGTGCTCGTTGGCCCAGCGCCCAAATGATCAATGTCCAAGATCGGTTCACCGGCCGGAATGCGCTCGTCGTGCGTTCTACATCCATCGTCGTTATCGTGCAATGGCTGGTCCACAGCCAATACTAGCCCCTACCACTGCAACACACCACGCACGCGAGCCTGCTGACCGAGCCACCAACGGTACAGTCTACGCACTCGGCAGCAAACATAACGATCGGAGAATACAAAAGCAAGATATGGGAACCCTGTGCGTCCACTTCTCGAATATCTGATTTGCAGGCCACAGACTTCTCTGTGCGGCAGGTCCCACCCCTCCACATTTATCAATCCCCATCTATACCCCCTGACGCTCAGCTGTTGGCTCCGAAAGATCCTCATACACAGGGTTGACAAGCCATGGCGGAGAACTTTCAAACGTCATTGGCCTATGCAGACATCCCCACGGTCCCCTATCGAGCCACAAGCAGACCCTTATTAGGATTCTGCAAGATGCCCGGTGCGGATTTGGTCTGGCGCCTTCGCCGCCAGTGTTTTTGCATCTGATCACTCCTGTGGAAACAGACGAGAGGCGATCTCATGGGGTCAGATCGTTTCGTATCTTGGTTTGAAGGAGTCGTTTCTGGTTCGCCATCAACACATCACCGTACATAAGGGTGGGCAGTGTCCGACCCCATTTGCTTCGTCCCTTGTTCGCTCTCTAATGTCTTGCCAAGCGATAATCTGCCTCCATTCCGGCCTTTGCTACCATTTCACTTCGTTCGCAGATCTATTTTGGCACACCCTAATCAAGTCAACGCTTTCAACGCGTTGCAATATTTTTTTTTTCCCTTTAGTTTTGGATCTAGGTTTTATACAGCCGCCCGGTACTTCATCTCCCTCGGTGCATACATCTAGACCGCATCCCCTGGTCGACGCCCAGGCACCTGATCCTTCCCGAACCCTGACTCGACGGTTCCTTGTCGAATCGGGTAAGGAAAAAAAAAGGATCTTCCTGCTCATACAGCACGGGAGGCAATATTTCAGCTCAAGATCCCTCGTCGTTGGCTAGCTGGTCCTGGTCTGCATTCCTTCTTCGCCGTCTAGACTCATCTCATCTACTTCACGTTGTTACCCTCAGTCGGGTAGGCTCAACCACAGCCGAAGTGGTACAGAGAAACCATGGAAGCATCACATTACACAGGAGTCAGAGAGTTGGATCTCAGCAACTGGCATGCCAATGCTGTTGCTGAGAAGCTCAATCATGCCGTCCCTGCCATCAGATCCAGTGCAGGTGAGAGAGCTCCTGATTGTCTTTTGTTGTGTTTCCTCCATCCTGTTCCGTAGTTGCACGACGATTGCCGCCGTGGTGCAGGTTTCGATGTCTCATTCTTGGACGAAATTCATGCTTGTTTTACTTCATGGCGAAGATGTCTTAACCTGACTCTAACTTCATCGCAGCCTTCCTCTCCTTTCTGCGCGCCAATCTGGCCCTTGACCCTATCACCATCTCACACACAAATACTCCAGTTCTGCAGCCCGCGGCGAATTACTCGCCTCCGCCGTCCCCTTCTTCCCAGGCCTCTGATCCACCCCTGACGCCCCTCGACGGCATACCAAACCTCTCTCTTGAGATCCTCTCACACCCAGCAGACAAGGCTCAAGCACTGAACGTCATCTCCGAATCGATCGTCGAGCAGCGCCAACAGATTGCCCTGTCTCTCATCCTCCACCCCCTGAGTATCGCTGCTGTCGTCGCAGCCGTCGCCGTTTTTCATCATCAAACCCGAAGCGTCTATCAAAACGTCAGCCTCGCCCACTCCATTGCAACCATCATGATCTTCCTTCTCGCGTGTCTCGCCATCATCCACTACCTTACTCTCCCATACGCAAATCTTGCTTCTTCCATCTCGCCATCCTACCTGCACCCCACAGCTCCCTCGCCTCTCCGCGCTGGCACTACAACGGCAGCCAGTGCATGTGACGAGGACTTTCTCCTCGCCGCCCGCTCCGGTCCCAAGATAATTGCCGCTGTCGTATTACGTCTTGAACCAAAGCAATCCCTCGCTCTCTCTGCTGGCGGATTTTCCGTCACCGGACCTCCTTCTGGTGGCAAGAAGCGCAGCAGGGGAAGCAGCGGCAACGCCGGACCGCTGCGTGGTGGCAAAGGTGTCATTCGCGCGTGGACAACGGGTCGAAAATGGCGCGGCTGTGGTGTCGGTGCTGATTTGCTGCATGAGGCAGTTCGCGTAACACGGGAACGTTGCGGGCGCGACGCTGAGGTTGGCTTTGCGCTGGAGCATGTGCACAGCAAGATGGTCCTACCCGAGCTGTTCAACGTTGCAGCCCGGAAGCAGGAACGGCGAGCTGCAATGGCGCTGGAGAGAGTTATTGGGGCTTGGGAGGCAGCCAGGCGACGAAAGTGAGCCAGCTACTGACGGCGACGAGTC